CGGGGGGTGAGAAGTTTACTAGAGACAGAGTGGGGAGCAGAACAGGTGGATCTATTGAAATACACTGCTGAGGGGAGCAGTAGGTGAGACAGGAGAGGTCTTCTGCACCATGTGGGTCAGCTCCCTGGCCGGGGATCGAAGTCGTGTTTCAGTGGCTGCAGATAGCTTCATAGCGCTGAGACTTAACCCTTTGTGCCACCAGGGAGAACTCTATATTTACTCCCTTTAAAACAAACCTAGTCAGCCCCTAGACAACTTTAAAATTAGTTAAGTCAAAAAAAAAAAAAAAAAAAAAAAGGATAACAAACCTGGCATGATTCCATGGAGGCAGGTGTCCAAGCAATCAGTCACCCCCATTTCATAAATGTCTACTATGAAAAGAAAAATGGATTTTTCTACTTTTTTTTCACATTTTTCTACTTTTTATGTTACAGCAGTGAAATTAATTAGAAGTATGTAGTCATATTATATTTTCATGTTTGGTGTTAGTTATAAAGAGGAGCTAGTCTTATGCTAAGATGGAATTAAATGGAGGTCTCTTCCTAAGGGCTCTAAAATCCTTGCACATGTATGGTGCTCTTCAGATAATATTGAATAAATGTGCTTGCACCTGATAAAGATCAAAATTAGGGAACAGCCATGTTTCTTAGAATTTATTATTCTAATGTCAAGGGCAGGATTTGGAGGCAAACTTTTGTTTGTCTTGCATCATCTAAAGTTTTCAACTCATAACTATATTTGACCTATAGTTTTCAAGTTTTGACTTTCTTTATGATAGTCCAGTAAATACGCCATCTCCCCAGTGATTGAGAGTGTGAAACATTCCTCATTATGATTAAAGTAGGAGACAGATGTGTTAATGAGGCTCTGGGGTCTCTCCAGTACTTAAATTCAGACATTTGTTAATGAGAAGGAGAGATAGAAGTTCTGTGTTTCTGTCTCTTTGAATTAGTGTCTAAAGGTAACCAAACGCAAAACAGGGTCAATGTGTTAAACTGTAAATTAACAGCAGTTATTAGTGATAACACACAACCAATATATTAATTATGTTTCTAATTATTATTTTAAATAACAGTCTGTGCAGCTCTTCAAGTTAGTGTCTGAGTCATTCACTATTTCATTCATTACATAATTCTTTTATATAAATAATTATTAGAAATATATGCTGCCATTTATGGAACACTTGGAGTGGTGTGAGAAATAATGCAGCATTATTTTTTCTCCAGTCGAAGCCTCCAGATGTGATTGAGCAAATCTTCATCATCCTTTCTGTCTCAGGCAAACCACTTATCTGTCCAATCACACTGAGTGTAAATAATTCCATTTTGATTAAATCTAATTTAAAACTTCCTTCATGACTACTTGAGTATTCTTGTGATCCCTGTCCTCAGTGTTAGCCAAGTCTGAATTTAAAAGGCTTGGTTTTACATCAACAGATACACCAAGATTGAAATCATACCAACCATCTTTTCTGACCACGAAGGCATCAAACTAGAAATAAATCATAAAAAGAAGGCAAGGAACTATCCTACCTCATGGAGATTAAAAGCCACACTACTGGAAGACCACTGGACTAACGAGGAGATCAAAGAAGAAATTAAAAAATTCTTTGAATTGAATGACAAGGAGGACACCAATATCCTAAATGTATGGGATGCAGCAAAAGCAGTAATAAGAGGAAAATATATAGCAATAGAAGCTCACATCAAAAAACAAGAAAGAACTCAAAGAAACAACCTAATCTCGAAGCTCAAAGATCTAGAAAAAGAACAACAAAAAAACCCCAGAACCAGTAGAAGAAAAGAAATAATAAAAACCAAAGCAGAAATAAATGAAATTGAAACTAAAAAAACAATCCAAAAGATCAATGAAACCAAGAGCTGGTTCTTTGAAAAAATAAATAAAATAGACAAACCCCTAGCCAGGCTCACAAAGGAAAAAAGGGAGAAAGCACAAATACACAGAATCATAAATGAAAGAGGAGAAATCACAACGGACACAGCAGAAATCAAAAGAATAATCAGTAACTACTATGAACAGTTATATGGAAACAAGTTCAACAATCTAGAGGAGATGGACAAATTCCTACAACTCTACAATCACCCAAAGCTAGATAAAGAAGAAATAGAACACCTAAACAGACCAATTACAAGCAGCGAAATTGAAATGGTAATTAAAAACCTCCCCAAAAACAAAAGCCCAGGACCTGATGGATTTACAAATGAATTCTACCAAACATTCAGAGACGAATTAGTGCCTATCCTTCACAAACTCTTCCAAAAAATTGAGAAGGAAGGGACAATACCAAACACGTTCTATGAAGCCAATATTACACTAATACCAAAACCGAATAAGGACAACACAAAAAAGGAAAACTATAGGCCAATCTCCCTAATGAACACTGATGCAAAAATCCTCAATAAAATTTTAGCTATCAGAATCCAACAATGTATCCATAAGATAATTCACCACGACCAAGTTGGATTCATTCCAGGGGCACAAGGATGGTTTAACATCCGAAAATCAATCAACGTTATCCAACACATCAACAAAAAGAAATATAAAAACCATATGATAATATCAATAGATGCTGAGAAAGCTTTCGACAAAGTGCAACACCCATTCATGATAAAAGCCCTTGAAATTCTTGGGATACAAGGAACATACCTCAACATCATAAAGGCCATCTATGACAAGCCAACAGCCAGTATCATTCTCAATGGTGAAAAGCTGAAAGCAATTCCATTAAGATCTGGAACAAGACAAGGATGTCCACTCTCACCACTGCTTTTCAATATAATACTGGAAGTCCTAGCCAGAGCAATAAGACAAGAGAAAGACATCCAAGGAATCCAAATAGGAAAAGAAGAAGTCAAACTATCACTATTTGCAGATGATATGATAATATACATAGAGAACCCCAAAATCTCCACAGAAAAACTAATTCAACTCATCAATCAATTCAGTAAAGTGGCAGGATACAAAATCAACACGCAAAAGTCAGTAGCCTTCCTATACACAAACAATAAATCTGAAGAAGAAGAAATCAAAAAACCACCCCTTTTATTATCGAAACAAAAAAAATCAAATATTGGGAATAAATCTAACAAAAGAGGTAAAGGACCTATACAAAGAAAACTATAAAACACTGTTAAAAGAAATAGAAGAAGACACAAAGAAATGGAAAGACATCCCCTGCTCATGGATTGGAAGAATAAACATTATTAAAATGGCCATCCTACCAAAAGCAATATACAGATTCAATGCTATTCCAATCAAAATCTCAATGGCATTCTTCAAAGAAATAGAACAATTATTGATGAAATTCATATGGAATCACCAAAAACCCCGAATAGCCAAAGCTCTACTGAAAAAAAAAGAAGGAAATGGAGGCATCACACTCCCAGACTTCAAACTATACTACAAAGCCATAATCATCAAAACTGCATGGTATTGGAACAAGAACAGACATACAGACCAATGGAATCGAATAGAAAATCCAGAAATAAACCCACAGATTTATGGTCAACTAATCTTTGACAAAGGAGCAAAGACTATGCATTGGAGCAAAGAAAGTTTGTTCAATAAATGGTGCTGGGAAAACTGGGTCGCTACATGCAAAAGAATGAAGCTTGACCACTACCTCACACCATACACAAAAATCAACTCAAAATGGATTAAAGAACTAGACATAAGACCTGAAACCATAAAATACATAGAAGGAAATATAGGCGAAACACTACGGGATTTGCACATCAAAGACATCTTTACAGACACATCACCCAAAGCAGTGATAGTGAAGAGAAAGATAAACAGCTGGGACTACATCAAATTAAAGAGCTTCTGCACAGCAAAAGAGACAATAACAAAAACAAAGAGAAACCCCACCAACTGGGAGAACATTTTTGCACCCAACACTAATGATAAAGGACTGATCACAAAAATCTGCAAAGAGCTGATGAGACTCAGCAACAACAAAGAAAATAATCCAGTCAAAAAATGGGCAGAAGAGCTAAAAAGAAACTTCTCTGAAGAGGAAATGCAAATGGTCAACAGACATATGAAAAAATGTTCAACATCACTTGTAATCAGGGAAATGCAAATCAAAACTACCATGAGATACCATCTCACACCAGTGAGAATGGCACATATTAAAAAAACTAGCAACAACAAATGTTGGCGAGGATGTGGAGAAAAAGGAACTCTTGTGCACTGTTGGTGGGAGTGCAAACTGGTCCAACCACTATGGAGAGCTGTGTGGAGATTTCTGGACCTACTAAACATAGAGCTTCCATATGATCCAGCAATTCCACTCCTAGGTATTTACCCAAAGGACACAGAAACATCAATTCCAAAGAGCACCTGCACTCCTATGTTTATAGCAGCACTGTTTACAATAGCTAAGCTTTGGAAACAACCCAAATGCCCAAAAATAGATGACTGGATCAAGAAGATGTGGTACATATATACCATGGAATATTACTCAGCATTCAAAAAAGATAAACACATGCAATTTGCAGCAACATGGATGGCACTGGAAGGGATCATGCTCAGCGAAATAAGCCAAAAAGAAAAAGAAAAATACCGGATGGTCTCACTCATAGCAGGAATCTAGAAAACTTAAATAAGGGACCAGGAAAATGAATATAAGAAAGTGAAAATCAAAATCAACAAAAAACTATGAACCAGAGACACTTTTTGGGGGGGGGGGGCGGGAGGGGAAGGATTGGGGTCAGAATGGGGCGTTTGCAATTGTATGGGGGAATATAAAAATAAAATTTAATATTAAAAAAAAAAAATAAAAAGGCCACTTTTAGATTAACAAAAAAAAAAAATAAAAAAAATAAATAAAAGGCTTGGTTTTAGGAAAGAGGCATGTGTGGTTTTTCATTCTTATCCTATTTTCCCTTTCTGTCTCTATCTCTATTCCATAGAGAGAAGGAAACACTAGAATTAAAAGAGCACAATAAATTTTATTCCAAATTTATTTTCCACGTGACCTTCTCTTGGTGGTCATGACTTCTGTGTAGTGAACTTTCTTTTAAGTCATAGCTGTCTGATGAATACATATCGGGGGTCTTCAGCATCCCTGCTCTGGAATTGGAGAGGTCAGCTAGAATATTTCACTCACACCAGAGAATTGGACGATGAGTGGGTTCACCCAGAAGGAGTCACAGATGTGCCTCATCAAAGCAGCTATATGTGGGCACCTGCCGAATTTGGAATGCTGTCTACCAGGATTAGGATACAGCCAGGCATGAGCAATACTGTTGACTCATTGTCAATAATCTCATTTACTTTATTATACCCTGGAAGGTGAAAGAAGTCTCAAGCAGAAAGGAGAGTTAAAGGAAAAGTGTAAAGTCAAACTTACATCCTTCCCACTTTAAGGATCTAGGGTCTAAGTCTGGATACCACTGCCTGTGGCAGGAAGGATAAAAGTGCTAAACTAGATGTGATTCTAAAGTTTTAATCAGGATTGAAATCAGCTTTTATTTGGGATTTTGTTTTGGAAATTGGGTAGAAGTCTATGCCATCTTCGGATATTATTTGTGATTGGGAAGGGTGAGTGAATAAAGCCAGCTTGCATCCACTAGCACATAAAATAGTGAAGTTGTTTTGTGTTTGCAATACACCAAGGGAGGACTGTCCCAGACCTACTGATATATCTGATGGGAAAAGCTTTCCAATCAGACTAGAGGGAAGGAGGACTCTGAAGACTGGAGCTCCATTCCTTTATGCTTTTCATGAATATTTTGAAGAATGCTTTCACCATCTTATCATATATTATGAAACATATCATTCTTTTTAAAAAATATATTGTAATTAAGCAATCACTATCAATTCTGAATCCATCTTATATTCCCTTATTTAAGCTTTCATGATTAAAATTAAATGTACGAGATATGAAGTGCTCTTCTAATTGTGATCATTTGATTTCTGGGTCAATATTCAAAGTTGATATTTTAAAACACTAAAAAACCAGTATAGCAATATGTCAGCATAACCAATCAGAAAGGATGGTACTATGAGAGGAAGAGCAAGCCCTGGAGATGCCTTCCTTTGCCTTGTATTGGTTTTTAGTCGTTGGATTTTGAGGTGATTGGGAGGTAGGGGAAAAGCGGCTAAAGGAAATAGGAACTTTGCAAATAGTATTTAAGCATTTCAACATTTTCATAATTGTAAGGCTGAATTGGTACATGCTATCTGAAGATCAGTTCTTTCCATGTAATTAAGCACAGTTTTGCGTAACATAATTCTTGAAATTCCAGCAAAATTCCACCAAGGTATATCTAAAAGATAAAAATCAGATGGATCAAATTGACTGAAAAACCAGAGTAGAGGAAAAACACAATCCAAAACACATATAGTAAATGTTACTAAGAGCTATTCTTTTCCTGTAACCTAGAAGAAATTCTAAATCCCAGAAAGAGCAAACAAAGAGAGCAAATAGAAGAAAATAATAATAATAATAATAATAGCTATAAAGGATGTTCCCTCTCACTCCTGCTAAAGTGCCTAAGCATCAACATTAAAATGCAAAGAGGAAAATTTATAGATATAAGGACTAAATTCAAAAAAATGTAAAAACAAAAACCTTAAACACTCTTAGGACAAAGACAGAGGGGGTTTGCTAACAAAAATGAATTAACAGTACATTGGCATCAATTTTCTCATCAGTACACTAGGCTTAGAAGACAAAGGAGATATGTTATTTGAAGTTACGAATTTGAATTCTTTCAATCACAATTTTGCTTAAATGAAATTATAACTGAATTCCTATAAAATGCTTTAAAATTAATTGAAACTAATTATTATTTATTATTATATATTTCTATATATTATATAAATATACTATATTATAACAAATGGTTTAATATGGTGTTGTAATAAATTACAATTAATATATTTTAATAAATATATATACAATAAATTTATATATGCATGTCTATATATCTATATAAGCATATATAAATACAAAATATAGCAAAGAATAGATGGTCATGGATCAAAAAAAACAGGCATATCAAATATAAGGAGCAGAGTTGAGACAATTTTTTTTTTAATTGAAGTAATGTTGGCTTACAGCACTGTATATACTTTAGGAGTTCAAGTTCACACATCTTCAAATGAATGCTGCCACTCCACGCTCACCAACAAACTGTCATTAAACTTCCACCACAGTCCATTTGGCCCTCTCCACACTTTGTGACTCCCCATCTGGTAACATTAGCAATGGAGCTGGATTCTTTTTTTTTTTTTTAAAGATTTATTTATTTAAAAAAGAACCCGGGTACAGGCCAGATCTGCCGCGGGAGGGTGAGAGAATTCACCAGAGACAGAGTGGGGAACAGAACAGGCAGACTGACTGAAACGCACTGCTGAGGGGAGCAGCGGGGCAAGACAGGAGAGGTCCGCAGCGCCATGTGTTTTGCTCTCTGGCTGGCCAGGGATCAAGCTCGTGCTGCAGAGGCTGCTGATTGCTTCATAGTGTGGTGCTTAACCCCTTGTGCCACCAGGGAGTCCCCTCACATAGTCTTAACCCAGCAAACCTCTCTAACCTCTGGCTCTGCATGCTTCATCCTTGCTTCCCCACTGCCACCACCTCTGCTGCCCCACAGGATTGCAAATCCACCTGCATTCTTTCCTCAGGGCTTCACACCCTGGCTCCTTGTCATCCTTCAGCTTGAAGTTTACTCGCCCAGAAAAATCACTGTCACAGCTAGCACTGGTATCTCGACAGTTTTTTCTTTCCCTTTGTTTTCACATTTTCTTAATTGACAGTTTTTTCTTTCCCTTTGTTTTCACATTTTCTTAATTGTACCTGTCATAATCTGCCACAATGCCATCTGCCGTTTACTTGTGGTTTACTTCTCTGTCTCTCCCAAAGACATGTAATAACGCTGAGGTTGGCACTTCCTTTAGTACCACCGTGAATAAACTGGGTAGTTTTTGCTCTTGTTTTGTTTTTTCATTCCTTTATGTTAGTTGAATGAATAATTTAATGGGTAATTAAAATAGAAACCCATGTCCCAGTACTAGGAAAATGCATGTAAATGCATTTTAAATACTTAAAAATTAGGGGCCTCCCCAGTGGCGCAAGGGGTTAAGACACAGCCTATCAAGCTATCCGCAGCCTCTGCAGCAAGAATTCGATCCCTGGTCAGGGAGGAGACCCACATGGCGCAGCAGACCTCTTCTGACTTGCCCGCTGCTCCCCTCAGCAGTGTATTTCAGTAGATCTGCCTGTTCTGTTCCCCATTTTGTCTCTGGCGAATCCTCTCACCCCCCACACCTCTGGCCTGTACCCTAGTTCTTGTATGCATAAATAAATAAATGTTTAAAAAAATTAAGAATAAACTAAGTTGACTCTGCCTAAGGTTTAATGTTGAAAGTGCCTTTAAATTGTTTATTTGGTGTCAGTCAGCAAGACTTGTCATCCCCAGGACTCAATGGAGACCACAGAACATAATTTCAAAAGGCTCACTCTAAAATAATCTTTCTGATGAGTTTAGAGGAAATAAATATCTGAAAGCTGAATCACTGATGAGGTTATTTTCATCATAATGAAGTATTAGTTTTGCTTGTTAGTCATTTTTATAGAAGTCTCTAAAACATTCACCAGTATGCACTCCTGCCAGGGTGGATGTGAAAGCCGCCACAGGTCAAGCAGCACGGCCTGGACCAAGTGCTTATGATGGACAGGTTGGGAGCTGGAGCCAGTCTATTGATAGATAAAAGTTCTTTTTTTTACATACTGTGTTATCCCTTTTTTTTTTTAAAGAGGCACGTATTTTATTTATTTATTTATTTGTTTGTTTATACATGCACTGGGTACAGTCAGAAGCACGGGAGGGTGAGAGAATTCATCAGAGCCAGAGCGGGTAGCAGAGCAGGCAGAAGGACCGAGGTACACTGCTGAGGGGAGCAGCGGGTAGCAGGAGAGGTCTGCGCGCCATGTGGGACCCTCCTCCGGTGGCCGGGGAGCAGCCAGGGATCGAACCGGCGCTGCAGAGGCCGCGGGCAGCTTCGCAGCCCAGTGCTCAACCGCTGAGCCACCGGGGAGGCCCCTGTGTTATCCCTTTTGAAGCAACCTGAGGTAATGGCTGGAACTTAGGAATCTGGGTTCTAATTTCTATCTCTGCTCTCACAATTTGTAGGACTTTGGCCAAGTTAGTTTACCTTAGTTTACCCAGTGTGACATGATAGGACTCAAATAGATGGCCTTTAAATTTCTTTCTAGTTCTAAAACTTCTAATACAAAGTGTACGTGGATAACAGAGTAGGACATTTTCTGTGTGCCCTTCGGGAGAGTTCTGGTGTACCAGGACAGCTTCAGGGTGCTATTATGATGATAACCTCAGTTACTTGAGAGATGCTCAAGCTGAATTGGACACTGAAAATGATAGCCTTGATCATCAGAGTTAAGACTGGAATAAACAAATAAAAGCAAAAATAAAGAGGAGAAAAGGTTACCCTACTGTCAGAGAAAGAAGAACTGTGAATGAGCTCCACGCAGGCAGAGAACTCACCTGAAAGCATGGGTGAGGGAAAGGTTGGATGCCATCGAAGGACTGGGTTCAGGAAGGTCTAGAAGGATCAGAATGTAACAGACAGCAGGGCCGTACCGAGAATAAATCTATCCCCTGAGAGATTAATATATAACATTATAAATGGCACTTTCGAAAGAGTAAACCTTTAGTGTGTGTGGCATCTCTTTAGTGTGTGGGGATCTTGCAAAACAGATGCTGATGCTGGCATCAAGGCTGAGAGTCTGTGTTTCTAACTAGCTCTCAGGAGCTACCAGTTAGTCTAAATCCTGTCCATTAACCAAGAAGAGACTAAAGACAACAGAATGAATATTCAGTCACACAACATCTATGTAACCCAGGTAAAAACATCTAAGGAACCCAGGTAAATGCATTTTAACATTTAGCCATTACTCAGGCTTCCATATCCCTGGGCAGATCAAGAATCTCCTGGTTCCACTTACATTAACCTATTTGCTAGAGACAAGCCCCATGAGAATTACCTGGTGCTGTGGAACTATTACTTAAGGTTTAGCATAAACAATAATTACAATCTGAAGATTGTATTTCTTCTTTAAAAAATTTCCTTGAATATGCAAATACTTTTGATCCTTCCACTTGTTACATGCAATTCAGTTAAGGAAACTTTTCTCTCTCCAAGGTGAACATTGTTTTCAAAATTTGGAACAACATATTAGTACACTAAAAATATACTGAAGGTACAAAATTACACATGAATAATCTTAAACAGAAGGGGGAAATACCTCAAAGGATAGATTCTGTAAGTTTCACATGTTCTCTTTTTCTATTTAGCAGCTGTATTCATGAATTAGGTGAAAATTGTCTGGCCATAAACTTCAAATCTTACTTTGGTATCAAATTGAGCATATTGATTTGCATATTGTTTAAGCTGCTGTTTTATATAGTTTATGCAAGAGCATAAATTATTATTTTTTTTATTATTACTTTATGTGAAAATAATGGAACTGACTCACCCAGAGTATGAGTACTTGACATTATCTTAGTGTGTATTTCCCTCAAATAAGAAGGGAAATATTAGTAACTTCAATAATATAATGCAAATAAAGTGGAATCATTGAGAGAGGACACATCATGCCTACTTTTTCTGTTTTGATTTTTCTTCTCTTACAGTTTACATAGCTCAAACTACCTCTGAGACTTTCTACAAAAAAAAAAAAAATCAGTCTATTTTGATATGCAATAATTAAACTTTTTTTTTTTTTTTTTAGGTAAGGGAGGTTAAGGTGAATTAAAGTGACCCGGATTTATTTTCATAGATCAGTATTTTAAGTTTTGTTCCTTTAAATATTAAAAAAGAGAAAAAAGATGTCTATCTGATCTTTTTCCACTAGTAAAATATTCTTCCATTTACTGACAATGATTCAGCTGATTAGATAATGTGGAGCTAGTAACATTGAAGGGTGACTTGTGGTTATGCTCAAGTGTCTTGCAGAGCAAATGAGCACTGTGCATCATGACTCAACCCTGTTGACTTCCCTCCAGAAACTGCAGTAGATCCAAGCTCCTAAAGGCAGGCTCTTGACAGGCTGCACCATCACCAGTATTTATACACAAAACATACCACTTGGGTGGAATTACCTGCATCCTGCTTTTGACGAGCATGACCTTCAACATCCTTCAGTGTTGTTACAGTGAAAGATTGTAGCAAGTCACCTGAGAATTGGCTCTGGGAGGGGAATCAGTTTTGTACTATGGTCTCCATGACTTCAGAGGGACAACTTGGGCAGGAACTGTGGAGTAAAATGAAAAGATGAAAGGCAGGAGAGAGGTCGCAAGGTGGGTTTATTCTGTAATCTGGCCCCCTCTTCCAGTTGTTCTGGGTTCAGCATTCATCGTGGTCAAGTCTCACCTTCAGAGTCTTGTGATGTCCTCTCAGTGGCAGAAGAGCCTTAGTTTTTAAATTTTTCATGTATGTGATATCATAATACATTCAAAGCTTTAACCTTTTTATAATATTAACCAGATCCCAGTTTATTATTGGTTTTGTGAATTTATTTTTAATGTACTTGAGTGATAATATAGGGGACCCACTAAGGGTCCCCACTACAAAGATGTATTTGGGAATAAAACCCTAGCAGCAAGGGAAACAAAAAGCAAAAATAACAAGGGAGATTGTATGAACTTCAAAGCCTTCACACCACAAAAGAAGCCATGGAGGGCTTCCCCTGGTGGCGCAACAAGTGGTTGAGCACCGCACTGTGAAGTTGTCCGCAGCCTCTGCAGTGTGGTTCGAGCCCGGCCAGCAGGTGAGAATCCCACATGGCAAAGCAGACCTCTTCTGACTCGCCCGCTGCTCCCCTCAGCAGTGTATTTCAGTCAGTCTGCCTGTTCTGTTCCCCACTCTGTCTCTGGTGAATCCTCTCACCCTCCCATGGATCTGGCCTGTACCCCGGTTCTTGTATAAATAAATAAATAAATAAATCTTTAAAAAAAAAAAGAAGCCATGGAAACACAAAAAGCCAAGCTACACAGTGAGGAAAAGGATTGGCATATGATACCTCTGACAAAGGGTTAATTTCCAAAATTTACAAAGTGCTTATATGATCCAAGAGCACAGAAACAAATGGCCCATATACAATATGGACAAAGGACCTCAATAGACACTTCTCCAACAGGATATTCAGATGGCCTGTAGACATACAAAGAAATGTTCAACATTACTTATTATAAGAGAAATGCAAATTAACCCCACTGAGCTACACCTCACTGCTGTGAGAATGATCCATTAAATGACCCATTCTGTGATGACTTATGGAAGCTCAGGCAGCAGGCCAGACCCAACCAACACAGCTGGAGGTGCTCACAGGGCTCTGAGAGGCCACAGAGCAGCCCACAACAGTCTGAAGGTAGGGCTTGACCATGGTGAATGCTGAACCCAGAAGGACCAAGAGAGGATGCCAGAAACAGAGTGAACAACCTTTCCTTAGGGCCCCCCACTAGGGCTTCCAGTTAGACCAGGGGAGCCCCCACTGGGACACCCAAAGAGCATGAGGGAGAGGAAGAAGGATGAAGGAAGATGAAAGTTCATAGCCAACAAATGCTTATTCCACTTATTACCAAGTGCTGGATATTTTCAAACAGTAAGTTTTTTAATCCCTGGTGAAAATTTGACTCACTTTTGTCTTTTCCTTTTGTTGTCATGCATAAGCCAGTGATATTTTTTTCCTGCAGTTCTTTATGTCTAAAAATTTCCAATTAGCTGGATGATTAAGGAGGGTTTAATAAAAGGACACACTACAAGGAAGTGAGCAACACTTAAAGAAACCAGCAAGAACAGCCTGGTGCCCTGAGGCAGCAACAGCAGGGTGCCACTGCAGTGCTAGGCCCAAGCACAGGGGAGGGAGCAGCTATAGCCGGGGGAGAGGGTGGCTGCAGGGTGCACACTCCCCAGGCCCTTCCTGGAGGAACACAACTGCCCTGCAGGAAATTAGTGGGGAGACTGCTGGGATAGGAACTCAGATTTTACTCTCTTTCCTCCCACCTCCTATCAGTGCTTCCAATGGTAAAATGCACCCGGACTTGCCAGGGTAAAGCACCTCCTTAATCCAATCTGTGCAGGTCAGCCTCCCACACAGAGAGACAGGAGACATCTAGGAAAATTTAAAAGATCTAGTATAGAAACTTTGTAAGGTATTTAAGAGGAAAATAGCAGCTTCAGATAACTGTGCAGAGCAGATTGAAAAGTGATGACATGAGAAGCAAGAACTCTACTCAACATGGGTGGGAAAGGAGACATGCTAGAGTGATTTCTAAATAAATATTTATTTTGAATATTGTGTACTCAGTATCCATCTCAATGGCTAGGGACAGCTTTCCTGCACCCTTATAGGTACACAGCTCATGCCATTGGCTATCTAAGTCTATTCAGATAGACCACTCCATTTAAATTAAATAGATTTTTTTCTACCGACAGTACTCAGTTACTCAAGCCAGTGTCCCACACACTAGAGCTGACTCCCTGCAGCTGCCTGCCAACCCCTAAAGCAGCTTCTGGAGAAGCTCCTAGACATTCAGCACAATGTTCTCCTGTGAGCTGTTGTCCTTGGATCGTCAGCTCTGCTTGACTGAGCAGACTAGAAAGCTGGCGCTGCTTTCTCTGCCCTTGTAGAATCCAGTCTAAGCAAGAATACTGTTAAGTCAGTTTAGCAAAAATCCTCCACATTTCTGGCTGACCTGTCTCAGTATCTTACCTCCCTGGCCTGCCTTCAGCAAGAATTCTGCTGAGTCATCCTAACATGACTCCTTGACCCTGAGGCTTCCTCACAGTCATTTCCATTCATTGCCCTGCCCTGTTCCTGGGGTATAAATCCCCACTTGGGGTTTGTTGGATTCAGATTGGAGTCTGCTCTCTCTCCTCTACTACAAAACCCCATTAGAGTAGTCGCCCTTCAATAGTCACCGTCCCACCTTCTAGAAATGTAGTGAATAATTATTCTCTATAACACACAAACACACACCCCATGTCTTTTTAGAGTCAAGAACTAATTCACAAATAAACAAAAGAGGGACTGAGAGGAAGCCACGCTCAGCAGAAGGCTCACTGGACATGGAGTATGTCTCCACTGAGGTGGGTGAGTCAGTTGTAATGTCTGCGGCTGTGCAGAGAGAGGCATGACTGGGTGAGGTTCTTGGCGTGGGAGACTCCAGGAAAAAGTTCCCTGGCAGTTATTCTCACACCCTCTTGGCTTTCTGTACACAGCCTAGAATGTTCACTCAAGACCAGCAGTTATATTGGATTAGTAAATAGTCTTTGATGAACATGAAAACACTTCATAGCTGTTTATTATGTATTTTTATGCAATTTATTTTTATACAAACAGTTGCAGGGAATAAAAAGTGTAGTGATGATAAGAGTGGTCCTTACTAATCATATTTGAGACAGAGTGAAGCCCAGATAATGTTGCATAGATGGACTTAGGACATAGAGTGTCATGATATTTAGAGAGAAGGGCTTAGAACGGAAAGGAAAAGACAAAACTAAATTTTCTCATTCACCACTTGAGGTAAGGCTGAACTGGGATTCAAGAACAACCTGCCCTCCTTCTGTTCTACAAATTAATTCCAGATGTGAGAGGATGTTGACATGATGATCACAGATGTTTTATGTTCATGAAAAGAAAGATTCTGTTTCTCTCTTAATCTTTCTTTTTTTTTAAAGATTATTTATGCATACAAGAACTGGGGTACAGGCCAGAGGTGTGGGGGGTGAGAGGACTCACCAGAGACAGAGTGGGGAACAGAACAGGCAAAGTGACTGAAATACACTGCTGAGGGGAGCAGTGAGCGACACAGGAGCAGTCTGCTGTGCCATGTGGGCAGTTCCGTGGCCAGTGGCTGGGGATCAAACTCATTCTGCAGAGGGTGTGATAGCTTCACAGTGCTGTGCTTAACCCCTTGCGCCATCAGGGAAGCCCTCTTAATCTTTCATAGTAAGAATTTTACTAAGTACAAGGAAAGGTCTTGGGGTCAGTAGCCAATGGTGCAGATACAACTTGCAAATTAAGAGACAGAGGAAATAGGAAGTTGTTGCAAATATAAGACACTAAGTGAAGATTCACAAGGATAAGAGCTCAAATTGTACTGACTTGTAATCAACTGCTTCTCCTATGAGCAGCTCTTTGTAGTGAGCATTAAGGTGTGAGGAAGTAACTGAATAAGTTATATAATGATGGTTAATTATTTGCCCAGGCTAAATGACAGGTGGACTGCTAGTTCTTATGTGTCTGCTGGTCACAACAATCTTCCTTTTTCTGAACTCCTAGAGTGAAATCATATAGGAACCAAAACCATTAGCATTTTATTTTCCTTTTTCATATATTGGCCTTTAATTGTCTCATGTCTGTAAATTGAAGTCAACCTATTCTGAACTGCATCTTATATTTCTTTTGTACATTTTCCCCACTAAAAAGGAGTGTCAACTGGATATAGAGTTCACAATTAATAACCATTTGATGGACTAATTTATTAGTTATAGATATTGAATATAGTTTCTTGTGTAGGTTATAGAACACACCTCTAGAATACTGGTATTTACTTAAAAAATCTTTTAGTAATCTAGGGATATAAGATATGTGGTTCAAAATAATAGCACTTATTTTCAATATCACATAAACTTTTGTAATGACTTTTTTATTATTGTGCTTTAGGACATAGATTTGCAGTTTCTGAACAGGAGCTAAATGTGACTCCTGACACTGTGTACTTAAGAGTTTTCATAAACCTGGATAAAAGAAGCCATGAAAGAGGGGACAGAATCCAAGTATCTAAGGCACACCAAAAGGCCAATCATTATCACGAGTGGAGTAGCCTAAATATGGGTCAACAAAATAGCAGAAAACAGGGCAATCCTATTCCATACTCCATTCATGGTGATCCTTACCCCATTTTACAATCCTTAATTTCATCATATCTACAAAGTCCCTTTAGCTGTATAAGGTGGTAGTGTCACAGGTTCTGGGATTGGCCTGTGAGGACAATTTCTGTCCCCCACAATATCTGCCAGCCCTACTGCCAAGGAGCTGCAGTCCCTGGAGAATGGCTGTCTTCTCCACGTCCTCCTCCTCCCTGGCAATTCTTTGGATTGTTGTACCCAGCCAGCCCTGCAAAGGCAGAAGGAAGAGTACCCTTTGTCAGAAGAGAAACTGGAAAACAGCTGTGAAACTGTCCGCAGCCTCTGCAGCACGGGTTCCATCCTGGCTGGCCAGCGAGAATCCCACATTGTGCAGCAGACCTCTCCTGCCTCACCCGCTGCTCCCCTCAGCAGTGTGCTTAGTCAGTCTGCCTGTTCTGTTCCCAACTCTGTCTCTGGTGAATCCTCTCACCCTCCCACACATCTGGCCTGTACCCCAGCTCTTGTATAAATAAAACAAAATCTTAAAAAAAAAAAAACCAAAAACTAAGGATCAGAAAATATATGCAGTCAGACAAAATGAGACTTTCCCCTTCCACCTTTACTTTCCAGTCAATGCAAAGACTTCATTAGGACTTTCCGTCACCTAAAGACTCAACTAGTTCATGTATTAACTCCTGTGCTCCGAAATACAAGGAAGGGGCAGATGCATAAAGAGGCGGGGAAAGATAGTGCAAAGCTCATAAATGAGATCATCTTTTCTATGCATAGGAAAAGAAACAGAAACACTGACTGTGAACAGAGCTGAGAATGATAGGGCCGTTGGTTTTCAGCGTTCGAGAAATCCAGGGTTTTGATTTTCATAAAAGGGTCTAAAAAAAGCTTCGTGCACACAGAAAATGGACAGCAGCTGCATTACAAACATGCTCAGCAGTGCCCCTGGGTGAGAGTAAAAAGGGAAAATCTTCTCAAAAGAAGGAACTTTTATTTTTGCTAATTTGTATTAGTTGCGGGACGTAAGGTAGTTATCCTACTTGAATAAATCTTACCTTTCTGAAATCTCACTCTTAGAATTTTTATTCCTTTCCTAAATTATTTCTCTTTGCATAGTTCCTGAAATTTATTTTCTGCCTTCATCTGCTATCAATTCAAAGGGGAAATCCTCTGAGAATGGTATGTTTTGCTGTTACTGCTTACATATGAACACTCTAATTCATTTTGTAAATAATTACTGTTTAGAAGTTCATATTACAGGTGAAAAGGATGTAGTACAAATAAATTTGTTATAGCCAGTGAACCAAAGGAGCTGCAAGGAGAGGATAGAAAATAGGGGCAGGACATGTGGGGAGTGGGGGAGCTCCCAAGAGGGTTTTCCCTGCCTCCTAAATTTAACCAAGCTGAAACATATAATATTTTAAGCATTTTTATCTTTAAGTGGTCTTACACTTGCTTGGTTTAGAAACTGTCTTCAGAACTGATGACATATTGAGCTTTGGCATTAAATATAGTTGCAAGCTTATCTTTACAACTGTCATGTGTATGGGGGGGGTGTGTATGTTTATAAAATAAAGTATAAATATCAGCTTCTATGTAATATCTAGGAAGATAGTCTCTGCTTTTTAATTTCTGAGAAATGCTATTCTTTTTCTAACTGATTAACAATAAGTATAGTATTGCTCTATTGTTATTCCAATTTTCTAGGTAAGCAACAAAGACATATAAATATGGTAAAGGCCTTAAACAAAATTGAGATCACATGAAAGATCTGGATTCAATTTCAGGCAAGCAGCAATCCTTGCTTCCCTCTGGACTCAGGTAGTGAATATAACCTTTACAATCAATGAAGGTGCATTGAAAAAAAACCAAAAAGACAAAAAAAAAAGTGCAACATTTACAATCCTCACAATGAATCTCTAAGATACAGCCTCCTGTATTTACACCTCAGAAAAGGAGACTCAGTATCATGTATGTTCTAGCACTTTTTCTCATTCGCTAAAGAGTTAGTTTTTAGTGAATAGGTTAAATGAATCCTACCCTGAGCCTAAAGCTGGATTTTTCCTAAATACAGAACATCAAAATTTTCCATTTGATAAAACCAAACAAGGAAGAAGTGGGTATTTCTTATAAATGTGAAGGATTTATAGGCAATTCTTGATGGGTGATAATAAAGAAGAATTAATCATTCATTTACTTAACAATGTTGAGGAAGATTTTTTTACTATTGGAGCATTTCATAAGTACATTTTCACAGCACGAATGAGCTCTCACTGGCTGATTTAGAACAATTTGAGCGTCAAGATAATTAGGGAGAGGAAAAATTTACAAGTCATTGAAAAATAGGAGTACATAAAGCCACACAATTGATGACTGATAGATCCATTGACTGACAACAGGTTCTTCCTTACAGTAGAATACCAAATGCCAACTCCTATACATGGAAAGTGCTAGAGTTGGAATATCACAATTCCATGCTTTGGCTGAAAAAAATTGTCCAAAATGCTGGGTTTATTTATAAAGCATGGGACAAGTAGGTATAATAAGTTTTGTAACAGGATGGTTCCTAGGAAAAGGGGAGATTCCAAGTCCCCTGCCATACCCAAGGGAGGGTGGAGCTGAGCAGGGAAGAGAAGAAACTAGAGAAGAGATGGAGGAAGAAAGGAAGCAGGATTGAGAGCCAGAAGGAGGCCTGGAGGAGGCACATAGAGCCGAGAGACATGTGAGGAAACTATGCTTGTGTTTCTGTCCTGAAAAGGTTGAAACAGATGTGGGTGAGAGACCCAGGGGGGAGTTAACAATCTTGATTTTGATTTTGCTCTTTTCCTCCTAGACTTGTCTGGCTGTTTCTGACCCTTTCCAATAGGTCCCCACCAGAAGGTGCTTTAGACCTGTGGCAGCCTTTCAGGCCTCAGTGACCCTGCTTTGGGCCAACACTGTTTGGCTGAACATTTACCCACAAGTGGATGGATAACTTTTGGTGCTGTATTTGGAAACTATATTCTTTGTCTTTTCTTTGTTGCACACTAATTTTACAATTATACAATTACTTTCCATTAAAGGTCTTATATGTTTTTGTGATGCAGTGGATGGCAGAACCTATTTAGAACAGACAGGTTTGGGGATTCTGGGGTGCCCCTCTCCCTGTCCTGTAAGTTCTGAAATTTCCATTGTTAGATTCTTTCTTGACCAAAATCTTATTGATACACTATTATCTATGGTTTCTTTTTTTTTCCCAGCAATTTAAAATATTTACACTTCTTGACATGTCAGTGTTAGAATATGTTTTCAATTGGAATAGCTGCTTTGACATTAAAAAAAGGGTGTTTTCAAATACTATTTTATTGCTTTTGAAGGAATTTAATTCATAATCCCAGAAATAATTTGCTTAACAATAATGTAAGTTTTGATGCTGAAAATAAGATTCCTAAACTAAGTAAAAAGATGAAAGGAATTGGGAGCTATTACTATCTCTTGGCAGTCTGTATTACTGGATTATTTCAAAGGTAATAATGTCTCAAGTTTCCTTTTGTATCAAGGCTTTATTTTTTTTCCTGTACTCTGCTGCCCCATAGTGGTTACTATTAACTATACCAGGCTGACTAAAAAGACACAAAAGCTCAATAGGTAAATGCCAATCCTGGAAGCGTCTGTTTAAAAATGAGCTCTCCGCAAATGCCCAAAAATAGATGACTGGATCAAGAAGATGTGGTACATATATACCATGGAATATTACTCAGCATTCAAAAAAGATAAACACATGCAATTTGCAGCAACATGGATGGCCCTGGAAGGGATCATGCTCAGCGAAATAAGCTAAAAAGAAAAAGAAAAATACCGGATGGTCTCACTCATAGCAGGAATCTAGAAAACTTAAATAAGGGACCAGGAAAGTGAATAACTATAAGAAAGTGAAAATCAAAATCAACAAAAAACTATGAACCAGAGACACTTTTTGGGGGGTGGGGGGCGGGAGGGGAGGGATTGGGGTCAGAATTGGGGGGTTGCAATTGTATGGGGAATATAAAAATAAAATTAAAAAAAAATGAGCTCTCCGATGCTCAGTGAAATAAGCCAGAGGGAAAAAGAAAAATATCATATGGTTTCACCTATAGGAGGAATATAGTGGAACCTATGAGGACAAATGAGGTCCCTCATCAGACACTTTGAAAACATGCCAGTTCGAGACTATCTATGCTCTCCCAAGCTTCCCACGCTCTCCCACCAAGCTACCCTTTCATAAAAACAACTCAAAGAAATTTTCTTACTTTATATTCATCAGAATCACATGAGGTACTTGTTTAAGATTTCTAGGTCTGGCACCCAGCAGTTTTTCTCAAGACTGTGAAATATGCTTTTTAAAATCAAATGCCTCAAATGATTCTGACTTTGTACAGAACACTTTTGGAGAAGCACTGATTCTGGGGAAATAGTGATATTATGAAGGAAAGAATGCTAAATGTAGAGTCAGAAAAATCAGGCCTCTTCACCCCACTCACACTTGCTAAGCACCTTTTGGTACCAAGCATCCATACTGGGGGCTAAGAGGGCACATAAAAGTCACAATCTGCATTTGAATAAGTCAAGTCTGGTTTGGGTGAAGTGAAATAAATAATTATGATGTTCTGAGATAATAACTCTGGAAAGAGAGAGGTGGAGCCTTTCAGGGGACAAGAGTGGTGGAGGGAGGAACTTGGGGAGAGCCAGACTGAAGATATTTGTTGTAGAAAGCTTTCCAGTCAAAAAACTGAAATAAATTAGCAAGAACAGTGACACACTTAGAATCCTCAATTTCTGCAACCCTGCACACATCTCCAGCTCCCTGAACTTGTATTTGTTATTTGTGTAAAAATAAGTGCTTTTCACTTTTACTTGACAGCTTAGTGTTTACAGTGGTTAGTGTTTGCAGCTGGTAAATGATGAGACAATATGGGGTGAAGGGAGATAGTTAGACAAAGGAAGCAAAGAGGGAAACTGAGAAAGAGAAGCGGTTCCCCACTCCCATCTCCTTAATTCAGCAGTTATTTCTTCCTCTTTCACCACCCAGTGCCAGAAATGCCTGCTTCTCACAGTCTCTTCTGAAATAAGGTCACCACCCAAGCACACTGCTTTTATCAACTCATTTAATTTTCACAAAGATATGAGGTAATTTTATCATTTCTACTTGACATGAAAATTGAGGTCCAGGCTTCAAGTGACTTACCCATATTCACAGTGAATACATGGCAGAACTAGGATTCCAATAAACATGTCTGTATCTTTTCTGTGAGCTATTTGATGACAAGGACTAGTTTCTTCTCTTCAATTCAGTGGCTCATAAAAAATTAAGCACCAGAAATGACTTTGTAGGAGAAGAAAATGTCTTCTTTCACCTTCTGATGGTCTCTGGTTGGGTCTGAAAATTGTAATGAACATGACATATTAATGGGAGGAAAGCATGCAAATTTGATTGAATTTTTATATAGTGTGCAGGAGTCTTCACAAGAAAATGAAGACTCAAAGAAGTGACCAGAACAGGAAGTTTTTATACCTTTTAGACAAATAAATAAATCTGTAAAGATTTCACAAGCAAATGGGGTTTTGGCTAGGGGCAGAAATAGTGAAGTAGTAGCAAGGCTTTTATAGCCTTCTTGGATCTCAATTCCCTGTCTCTGGTGATAGAAGTTCCCCTTTGTCCTGCTGCGGAGAGAGTACCTTTCGTGTGGGAGATTTCAAGGAAGAAAGACAAAGAGGGGAGGTCAGAGAGAACTTCTGTGTCAGCTGTTTCTCAAATTCCTTCAACATAAGATATTCAGGCCAAGGTGCTATGTTTTGAGTTACCATATATCCTGAACCACATCAACTTCAAAAAGGAAAAAAAAAAACAGGCAGATGGAGAGGAAGTGGTTTGGTTGGTTTTGAGAAGAATACAACAGATCATCCTACATTTGCTGGTGCAGTAACCTTGCCTTCAACCAGCGACATGTTGAAAATACTTTCAAAGTCAAGGCTCAGCTGATTATTTCCTAACTTTTAAGTTATAGATTAGCTAACTCACTGTTGTAGGAAGCTCTTCAATATTTTAACATTTAGACTGTTAAACACTGCGCTCTAGAGTAACCTGCCACAAATTGAATCTATGGAAATCAATCTCTTTTCCCCTACAATAACCAGAAACTATAAATAATACCCCAGGTCCCAAGATAAGGCCTGAACTATAGTGTTCTCACCCCTCCTCACCCTGCTCTCTGACTATCTGCATATCTTTTATTTATTTTTAGGTGAAAAAAGGCTTTACTATTTCCCAAGGATTTTGTTTTAAAAAAATTGAATAATTCAGAAGTATATAAAGTATAAAGTAAAAAGTTAAAAATGTAAAATTTATATGTTTATTCTTCTGTAACAGGGTGGTCCCCAGGGAAAGGGGAGGTTCCAGTTTCCCTGTCCCACCCAAGGGAGGGTGGAGCTGAGAAAGAAAGAGAAGCCAGAGAGGAGACAGCAGGAGGAAGGAAGACGAATGGAGAGCAAGGAGACCTGGAGGAGGCACATGGAGCAGAGAGACACATGAAAAAGATGCATTTGCTTTTTGGTCCGGGACTGGTTGAAACAGATGTGGGTGAGACACCTGTGGGGAAGTTACAAATGGCAGAGTTTATCTTGATTTTGGTTTTGCTCTTTCCTTCCATACTTGCCTGGCCCTTTCTGCCCCTTTCCAGAAAGTGCCTTAGACTTGCACCAAGCTTTTGGGCCTCAGTGATCTTGCTTCAGGACAACCCTGTTTGGCTGGGCATTTGCTTACGAGGAGATGGGTAACTTTTGCTGCTCTATTTGGAAATCATATTCTTTGTTTTTTCTTTGTTGCACACTAATTGTTTTAAAGTTCCTTTCCATTAAAGGTCTCATGCACTGAAGTATGTTTTGACTAATGTAGCAGACGGCAGGTTTAGGAGTTCTAGGTGCCGCTCTCTCTGCCCTGTTCACATTTCTAGACATTGTTTTTCTCTCCCCCTCATTTTCTCTCTCTATATATAATTAAAAAATGTTTTTTAAAGATTTATTTGTATTTATGCATACAAGAACTGGGGTGTAGGCCAGAGGTGCAGGAGGTGAAAGTGTTCACCAGAGACAGAGTGGGGAGCAGAACAGGCAGATCGGCTCAAATATACTGCTGAGGGGAGCAGCGGGTGAAACAGGAGAGGTCTGCTATGCCATGTGGGTTAGCTCTTTGGCTGGGGATCAAATTCATGCCACAGTGGCTGGTGATAGCTTGATAGCACTGAGACTTTAACCCCTGCACCACAAGGAAGGCCCTCAAAAATGTTACTATAACACATATTCATTTCATAGACACCTTCGGATGTCAATGATATAAATCTAATATACTAGCTATACTAATATAATGTAGTATTCTACATGCTCATATTAACACATTTTATGTTTGTATTAACTAATTTAATGCTTCCCAACAAGTCTACCAGGCTATAGCTCTATGTCCTAGGTGGGAAAACTGAGGCGAAGAGGTTAAGTGACTTGCCAAAGTTTTGGAACTGGGATTTGAGCACAGCAGCCCTACTCCAGAGATCTCTGACTGATGATGGCATTACACTCAGAAAAATTCATCATAAGTTGAAGATATCAAAAGGTGAATGTACCGTAAGTCAAAGATGTCATAAAGTAGAAAATGTATGTTACACAGGTAACCTGTCCAACATCACATAGCTGACCTAAACGTGCTCAGAAGACTTACATTAGCCTATAGTTGGGATGTATTTTGAATTTCACCACTAGAATTGTTACAGGGCAGGGAGAGGGACACCCCAGACCCCACACACCTGCCGGCTCTAAATAGGTTCTGCCATACGCCCCATCGACACAAAACATATGAAACTTTAACGGGAAGGAATTTTAATACAATTAGGAAACAATACAGGAAAGGCAAAGAATATAGTTTCTAAGTCAAGAACCCGAAGTTATCCATCCCCTCATGGGTAAAAGTCCACCCAAGCAGGACTGGCCCAGAACAAGGCCCCAAAGCCTGTCACAAGTCTAAAGCATCCTCCAGTGGGGACCCACAGAAAAGGATCAGAAACAACCAGACAAGTTTGGAAGGAAAAGAGCAAAATCAAAATCAAGACAAAAACCTCCATTTTCACCTCCCCACAGGTCTGTCACCCACATATGTCCAGTCCACGACCAAAAGGCAAGTGCAGTTTCTTCATGTGTCTCTCGGCTCCATGTGCCTCCTCCAGGTCTCCTTCTGGCTCTCCATCCTGCTTCCTTCCTTCCTCAGTCCCCTCTGCAGCTTCTTCTCTCTCTGCTTAGCTCCACCTGCCTTTTGGGTGGGGCAAGAAACCTGGAACCTCCCCTTTTCCTGGGGACCACCCTGTTACAGAATAATTACCTTTCCTCTTTTTCTCACCAGAAGCAGGAGAAACAGATGAAGCTTTTTAATCAAGTCAGAAAGCAGAAACACAAAACACAATATCCAGAAAAAAAAATTGCTGGCAACACAGTGCCCTGCAGAGGATCAGCTGCTTACCCTTCTGATCCTGTGACTGAGTGGGAGCTGCCAGCTTTGTGAGCATGTGTTACCACAGGGCTCACTAGTCCAGGAAAGGAACAACATTGTAAATTTCATGCAAGATTTCTACTGACTGCATATTGCTTTCACAACATCATAAAATCAAAAAACCGTAAGTCAAAGCAGCTTGAGTCTGGGGCTGAATGTGCTCTGAACCACCACACTTCTTCACTGATACCACGTGGTTACATGTGTGCAAGTGATTCCCTTGGACAGATATTTATGTTGTTTCCAAATGTTTAATATTTAAAACAATACTGTGACATATGTCATTTCAGCATACTTGCCCAAACATTCCCTCAGTACAGATTTCTAAAAGTGAGCTTATGCCTGGAAGAGTTAATACATTGCTTTTACAAGTTTGCAGAAAGACTGTGCATCTGCAGAGCTGCGACAAGGTACCAGCGTGCTCATGCCCCCGGCCCCCCTTTATACTTACCCTGTCAGTACTGTGTATTATTATTCTTTCTCATTTTTATCAATCTCTTAGGTCTCACCATGCTGTTTCACCTAAGCCCTGTGATCCTGGAAGACAGTGACGGTTAAAGAAATCTTCATGGCTTTTGTGTTCTGGGAATGGTTTATTGCAAATAGCCACCTTCCTCCTTTGACTCATGGATGCCCCCACTACCACCACCACACAGCCCCTGTGTGGTCAAGGCCAGATAGAAAAAGTCAGTTCCCATTCTTTGCCTTATAAATGATTAACTGGCTTTCTGGTCTCCACCAATCAATTGTAACAAAATGCTTATTAACCAAACTTTGGTTAAGATTGTCCCCTTACTTGGGTTCCTGAACTTTGGCCCATCCTCAGCCTAAGGCAACAAACAGCCAGCACCTCCTAGAACAGACTAGCCTCAGGATAAAATTTCTCTATGGTCTGATTCTGTCACTCCCATTCTAACCTTGTTTTCACTCCTAATTCTTTCTAGCCTTGTTAACTCTTCTCTATAAAAGAAAATTTCTTTTACCTGGCTTAGGAGACATTTGCAGGCCTATGGTCCAGAAGCTCTCCTTGCAACTACTGATATATAAGTCTGGGATATCTAGTTGAGACTATGTTGATTATATGCAGCAATACTGTATCAGACACATCAAACTGTAAAAAAAATTTAAATAAGACAATTTTGGTAATACAAACAAACTCAAACACTTCATGATGCAGACATTCTGCTCTTGGAGAACTGCAAAATGGGGAAGGTTTTACAGCATGAGTAAAGTACAAGGAAGTGAAAAATAGAAAATATCTGATTGACTGGAACAGTATCGTCAGCATTGTTTGGGGTGAGAAAATTCTGAGTTGGTTTGCTGTTTGGTAATTGACTGAACATACTGTTCCTGGTTGAGCGAAGCGTTTATAAGAACATGAAGTTTATCGAGGTTTCAGTTAGTTGAATTTACACCTTGTGTTATAGGGCAGCCCCGATACAAAACGGGGTGCCTGACTGTGGGTCCTCACCCGCGCTCTTAAAAGGACTTATCAATGCTCTACTGCAGGCACACGCGAAAGGTTAATAAAAGGTTTATTTACAAGGGAAGGGGAAATGAGGAAATATACAACTCAGGGAGAAAAGTGGGAGACAAAGTTTTAAATGTGTCCTACCCGATCCAATGATCTGGAATCCCAAATGGCGCTCTGAGAGCTTGCCGCGGGCCAGGAGCCATGAAGCCCGGAGGCGAGCAACAGAGCGAGCCCCCCAAGGCCCACGTGTTTGGTTTTTATACCAAACCTGGCTGAGGTCCCAGCCACCTTCCCTTTGGTGGTGACAGGATTTGTCTTTCCCAATGTCTTGATGGCTTTGGTCTGGAGTGGGGGTGGGGTCCACAAAGCCTGCATGGGATTAGCTCAGGACATCCTTCCCCCTAACACTTGGACAGCAGGGTACTATGGTGTGCCTAGACATTTTTTTCCAACAATGCCAAGATATTAGATCTTAATTATTCCCCTGACAAAAAATAAATGATAATTATGTGGTGTATAAAAGTGTTAACTATTGCTATTGATACCAGAATTGTCAGGCCTAGTCTCCCAGCCAGGAACAGATCCCAGGCTGCAGGGGCAGCGCTGAGCCCCAGCCACTAGACCCCCACGGGTTGGTGTCTCATGAAGCCGCAGCAGGAACTTCGCAGATGCTCAGGCAAGCAAGCGAGAAGAGGCAGGTTTGTTTAGAGAAAGAAAAAGTTTATTGAGGAGAAAAGGAACAGAAATAAAGTGGGACTCCCAGGCCATGAAACCAGGCCAGGGAGGGGCAAGGAAGCCAAAGTGGAGTCGTGTCTCAGGGAATATACACCTTCTTTCCCTAATTATTCTAAAGCTCCAACAGTCTCTTTGTGATTGGTTAGTTCTCGGTTGTCTCACTTAATCTGCTGCTGAGTGGGGGATCTTTATCTAACAGGTTCGTCTTTCCCCATTTGTTGCATCTTCCCCCTTGTTTGATATATTTATCTTTATGGCCCAGTCTCCCAGATGAGTACCCCTGCATTTTAGGGAAGAGAAAGTTAAACATCAGCTATTGAAGAAAAACAGGCTGGCGCCCATAGGTGCTGATCCCTTCTCATCTGCCCCTTGCATAAATATCCCTGCACTCTGACAAAGGGCAGGACGGTGATGTACCAGACATGAGTCTGCTGCCCTCCTAATTTGTCCATAAATTAAACCACTCTCCCTTTCCCCAAACTCCACCTCCCTTTATCACCTGAGGGAAACCAAGGCCAGCGTTAACAATGTTGCCCTTGGTCCTGAGATGTTTATTATTCCCAGTGGAATTAGTTACATTCCTCTTGTTGCCCTTATCTCTGAAGCCTTCCTAAACTCTTCAGAGGTCCCCTCTTGCAATGTCCCTAAAACTGCCTAATTACCCTAACTTGCTCTCAGATTCACTACCTTGCAATCATATCACAATATATAAATGTGACTAATTGGCATGTTTATATAAACTTGTATAATGTTTTGTCAGATATATTTCAACTTAAAAAGCTTTAGTGGTAAAAAGATTTGCCTTAGATGAAATTATTTAGGAACTTAGATTAAGACATGTCTGTGAATTATTTACTCTCAGTGCTAATTTTTCTACTGTGATGTCTTAGGTTGGTTTCTCTGGAAGTTTGAATTGAAGTGGGGAACAAGAGAATTCAGGAAGAACACACAGAGGAGAAGGGGAATAAGGAAAGTCTTATGAGTAAGAGGGAAAAACTAAGAATTTGGGCTTGGCTGGTACTGTGCTACCTGAAAATTCAGGAGCAAAAGTTGCACCACAGGATTAATGTAAAAAGTTGAACAAGATTAATTACCCCACAAGTCTGCTGGGGGCCAGGGGTGGGTGTGGAGCACCAGGATGGGGGGTGGTGATGTCAATCTGTCTTTGGCTGAGTCTGAGGAATGTAGACTCCAGACCAGGGCAGCTCCCCTTGGCCCAAGACAGTTCTCCAGAGAAGACAGCTGTGATTTGTTATTAGCAAATACAGCAAGTGTGGTTTGATTACAGTGCAGATTAAAGGGAATGTATAACTATAAGAAAGTGAAAATCAAAATCAACAAAAAACTATGAACCAGAGACACTCTGTGGGGGGTAGAGGGCGGGAGGGGAGGGATTGGGGTCAAAATAAGGGGGTTGCAATTGTATGGGGATTATAAAAATAAAATTAAAAAAAAATAAAGGGAATGTGGTTGAATAATCCATAGTATCCACCTCTTGATATTATCTCTCTTATAATTCATAAGAACATATAATTCACTTGTACTAGAGCTTACAAGTATTTTCTTTTTGTCTTTCACTTTATAATTTTAATCTTTCACTTTATAATTTTAATGAAGAAATTATAAATTTTTGTGTAAAGGGAGATCAGCATATGCTACCCTCAAACACGTCACTTTGGCATAAAGAAATTTTAAACCAGACATTTGAGATTCAGCAATTTTGAAACTTGTAATGGGGGGTCCCCAGGGAAAGGGGAGTTTCCAGGTTCCAGTTCCACCCAAAGAAGGGTGGAGGTGAGCAGAGAGGAGTAGCAGTTGGAGAGAAGACTGGAAGAAGGGAGGAAGGCAAGCAAGATGGGGGCTTGGAGGAGGCACATGGATCAGAGAGATATGTGAAGATGAACTTACTTCTTGGTCTTGAACTTGGTGAAACTGATGTGGGTGAGAGGTCTGTGGAGAGGTTAACAATGGCAACATTTATCTTGATTTTGTTCCTTTTGCCCCACACGTGCCCCTTCTGCCCCTTTCCTATAGGTCCCCACCAGAAGGTGCTTTAGACCTATGGTAGGCTTTTAGGCCTCAGTGGCCCTGCTTTGGGCCAACCCTGCTTGGCTGAACATTTACCCACAAGTGGATGAGTAACTTCAGGTGCTTGATTTGGAAACTGTATTCTTTGTCTTCTTTTTGTTGTACACTAATTGTATTAAAGTTCCTTCCATTAAAGGTCTTATGCACTAGATTACGATTTGTCTTGATGTAGAGGATGGTAGAACCTATTTAGATTGGGCAGATTTGAGGGTTTTGGGGTACCCCTTTTCCTGCCCAGTAACAAAATCTCAAAACTTTTCTTATCTGATGAAAACAGTAACTTTTAAGAAATTCAAAATCACGCAGCTAAAGAACTTGGTTTCTAAATGGTATTTTCCTTCAAAAGAAACAATGATTATGCAGTAAAATGGCTGGTATTTGAGTCAAAGCAGGGCAAACACAACATAATCCTGTAGTATCTCATTGTACCAAGAGTTAAGGAGGTACTAGGAATAGAAAAAAATGGGTTGTGTCAAAGGACAGAGAGCCAACCTAAAAAAATCCCCAATGATAGAGGCAAGTTAAATATAACCTAAAAATCCATGACCTATAATGATATAAATAAATGATTGAAAAAAATAAATATATTTGGTAGAAGTGACAAATATTACTTACAGGAGAACTGAAAGAAATTAAAAATCACCCTTAAAAGCAACAGTGATAACTGCTGAGGCAAAATATACTAATGAATGCTGAAATCAGTAGCAAAACTTTAAGGAAAAGAAAGATCTATGCAAAGACTCAAAATAATTCTCCCTAAGTATTTATTAATTGCTGTTGCGGCTTCATCATGTATCTATACATTTTAATATTATCTCCTTCTGTGGGAGGCATCAGTTCTCATTTTTATTGTAGACTGGTCTTAGTGATTATCTTCTAGTGAATTAGTATGGAAATGGAAAAATAATATCTTCATATTGTAGAAAAATCACAGAAATCACCTTAGCCAGGTCAAGGTAAATATCACTAGTAATATAAAAAATCTATAACTGTGAAAACATCAGACAAACCTAAATCGAGGGAAATTCTATAAAACATCTGATCAGTACACTTAATAATGCCAAGGTCATAACAAAAAAGGAATGGTAACTATCCCAGACTGGAGGAGACAAAGGGTACACATTGTAAAAATGCTCCAGACATCCTGGATTGGATCTTGGAACAGAAATTGGACATTAATAGAAAACTAGCGAAGTCTGAATAAAGTTAGCAGTTTACTTGGTACTACTATGCCAATGTTAATTTCTTAGTATTGACAAATACACCATGGTTATGTAGGAATGTAACATTAAGGGAATCTGGTGAAATGTATAGAGAAACTCTGTATTAAATACTTTTAAAATAGTTTGTTTTGACAATGAGGAGGAAGGGAAACCATATCCTAATTACAGTGAACTACATGAGCAAAGTACTGACATAAGAAAAATCCTGTTATGTGATTGAAGAATTGGTGGGAGGGAAGTAGGAGAGGATAGAGATGAAGCTCTTTAAGTCAGCATATTCCAAAACATAAATTCTGAAGCAGGAAATGGCAGGTTCCAGATCATGTAGGTCCATATATATATAAGGTGACCTTATCATGCATCATCTGAACTGGGACATATTTGAAAATGACAGTGGGGGTAGGTGGGGAATTGCTCAGCAAACAGGAGGCTGGAGCAGTGCATAAAATGGACTGTCTTCAATAAAGTAGTCATAGGATCACACTATTTATATGCCTTGATAAGGGACTTGAGAGTTTATTTTGAGAGCAATGTCTTTTATAATGCATAACAGCCATTAAGCATAAAAAATTCAAAGGTCAAGTACTTTCAGAAAAGACTGCGTAAAAGAAAGCTACACTTGCTTATTGAACCACATCTCAGAGCCTTTAATTTACTACCGTGTGTTGTCAATCTTCAAGAATGTATTTTAACAAGCTTCCCTTCCTGTTTATCTTTTCATAGATACCCTTCTCTGATTGCTCAACCTACAAAACCCCCTTACCCTGCTCATTTTGCATTGTTTAATTTTGGGGGCACATTGTAATCATGTGGAGAGGGCATGAAGTTTGGAATTGTGCCTTTTAGTGGTGGCTGTGAGGATAATACAGTTGTGTAGAGCTGGGGATACAGATGCCAATGAGGAGGCTGTGTCAGTGGAATGGGATGCAAATAACTAAAGATAAGAGAGAAGAGGGCACATAGGAACAAGATTTAGACAGTAAAATTACAAGGTAGTATGCAAATTATGTTGCTGTAAATGTCCATCTAAAATTTCTATGGGATGCCTTCTTATTACCTCTGTTTAAAAGTCAAAGCAAAATTTTTGCTTTTTGGCATATCATTAAACACTAGTGTGGTTTTAGAAAGAAAACAAGCAGACTACAAAGAGACATGATGTATGCTTGAAAATAAGGCACAACAAAGCAAACTCATATTTATTAGTAATTTAACAGAATTATTAATAATTCAATTAATTATGAACCTAATCTAGGGCAGATTAGGCCTTCAGTTTTCTCAAATCAAAAATTTTTTACAAGTCAGGCCTCCCTAGTGGTGCAAGGGGTTAAGATGCAACCTATGAAGCTGTGTACAGCCTCTGTCGCACGAGTTCAATCCCTGGCCAGGGAGCAACCCACAAGGCGCAGCAGACCTCTCCTGACTCGCCCGCTGCTCCCCTCAGCCATGTACTTTGGTCAATCTACCTGTTCTGTTCCCCACTCTGTCTCTGGTGAATCCTCTCACCCCCCGCACCTCTGGCCTGTACTCCAGCTCCTATATGCAAAAATAAATAAATTTATTAAAAAAACCAAAAAAACAAAAACTTTTCACAAGTCAACAGGTACGCCTCTGTCTTATCAGTGAATCCTTACTGCAATATTTTCGTCTTTGTGTCTCTTACTTCTCTGGCTTTCCTGCTGGATTATATGATCATTGTTTTAAAATATTTTAGTTAGGGCGATAGATGAAAAAGCAGTTATCTTCTTCCATTCACTAAATCTGCTGTTCCAGACACTAGAGACAGAGCAGTGGGAAGTTCCTTATCCTACATGGGAGGGGTTAATTGGGTGGTATTTATATTAATAAGGCAACAGCAACGATATGGATAATTTCTAAACAGTGACTTAGTTCAGATTTCCCTTCAAAAGTCTTTCTAAAAAGACAAAAATCCTCACAATTACTAGTTTTGTAACATCCGAATTGTATCTATCTATGTTTGGACATAGGCAACTCTCATAAGGGTAAAATATTTTGAGAGAAGTGAAATGATCACTGGTTAAATTGGCAGAATTTCTTAGCCTTACTGAGTTCAAGGCATGTGGCTGAATTGCACTAAGAAGCAGCAAATGGAATGTTGGGGGACTATAAATATAAGGAAATCTTGTGAAATTCATTTATTCACTTGCTTCTAAATTTTGCAGTGTTACCTAAAGTATATCTATTTTTTTTTTCCATTTCCATTTGGGTGAAATCTAATGCTTAGGTTTTCAAAAGACATGAAAGGAATCAACCCACAGCATATTTTAAAACTTGAGAAATTGGAATGAGACCAGGAGGAATCAGACAGCTGAACTTTGGTCCTAGTTTAGTCAGTAGCAGGATCACCTGAAGAAGCCACTTCACCTCAGGTTCTTCTACAGTGTCCTGTGCTTTCCTCTCCCAAAGCCCAGGGACCTATCAAAGGGAAAGTGAAAGGATATTTGAAGAGTGCACCAGTTCTAAGGCTGATGTGAGTTCTTTGCAAGACAATTCTTTGAATGATTGAAATGCCTCTCCTGAAGTCCACCAACTCCTTCCGTGTACAACTTTTAGGTCTTCATTTACTTGAACTTTCTGTAACAGGAATATTATAGTCGCCTCTTTTTATTTTTTTTTTAATGTACTCCTTTATTTTTCCTCTACCTTTTTGCTGGCTATGTCCTGTATCTCTGGTTACTTCTTTTCACCTTTTCAGCCTTTTTTTTCTCCCTCTGCCTTCCCACACCCCCCTTTTTAAAAGTTTTATTTTTATTTATTTTTGCATACAAGAAGTGGGGTATAAACCAGAGGTGTGGGGGAAGGGAGAACAAGATGATTCACCAGAGACAGAGTGGGGAGCAAAACAGGCCGATCTACTGAGGTACACTGCTGAGGGGAGATAGGAGAGGTCTGCTGCACCATGTGGATCACTTCCCTGGCCTGGGATCCAACTCATGCTGCAGTGGCTGGCAATAGCTTGGTAATGCTGAGACTTTAACCCTTGCACCACCAAGGAGGTCCTAATTGCCAAGGAATTCTAAATATTTCTCAAATATATTTACCTTAGTGCAGTCCTTCAATATCCCTGACTTGGGAGACTCTTAGCTAGGGAATATTACTGTTGTAATAGCCTCCTAGGTGGTTGCTATTTCTCTCCTACCCTCTATCTACTCTTAGTGCTATTTCCTTTCATTTCTCTCACTTGTTCAGGGTCCTATTTATTTGATATCTGTGGAAACTGATACAGTACCTGGAATATGGCAGGTTCTCAGTAAATATTTACTGAGAACAATATGGTAGGAAGAGCTCAAGATTCTGAATTAGGGCATGTGGACCTGTGCTGCTCATAATTTTCTATGTGATTTTGATGGAGTTTCTTTGGGTTTTAGTTTCTTTAATCTGTGAAATGAGAAAGTAGAACTAGATTTTCTGTGAGATTCTCTCTAATACACCCTGGTTGATATTATTGCCTATTATGGAGCTTAAAGCACTTAAAAATTGAAGAATATTGATTTTCACATAATATGAATTTCCACTCTATCTTAACAAAACATGGGCAATATTCCTAAAAGTCTACAATCATTTCTAGCTGAATCACGTGGCCCTGTTAGATGGAATGTATGCCTTCAGACTGGCCAGCACGGCCACCTCTCTCCATTGCCTGTTCTTCACCGAGGCAGAGTGTAAGTTCCCGCTTAGCATCATACTTGCACTGCATTTTTCTTCAATAAAGATTAAAAGATTGAAAATATATCTTGTTCCCATATATCTGTTAAAAGTAGAAAAATGAAAACCTGAGAGACACTTGTGTTTCTTATCCATGCCTCATGCACTTTGTATATATGTATAATATCACTCTAGAATTTGCTCAGGTAGTACCAATGCAAACTGTTCTGGGTTTGCTTTTTTCCTACCGACGTGCATTTTTGATGTCTTTATGATCCTTTCATAAAACAGTGCTACCTTAACATAGGCAAAGTCAAAGTCAGTCTTTATCTAATTAATTTAGTGAGTTATTTCTTTCCCCTGAAACAAGTGATGCTGTCCCCCCAACCCCCAACAATGACAGAGTATTTATCATTACAACATTCTCTGCTTTTTTCAACCCCTCAGAAAGCCAAATACTGCCCTTCAAAGATGCTAAAACTGACTTGTCCATGCTGTGAAAAACATGCAAGCACACGAAGGTGACTACTTTTTTCTTCCTGGTTCCTGCTAAGATTGCGTATTTGTGTCCGCATATTTTACAAGACCTGTGAATACCATCTACAGCAGAGCTAAAGGTTGGAAAACAAGAGAGGCATGAGCTGATGGGGCGGGCTGAAGCCGCACTCGGGAGGCGCCCGCCACCGGCTGAAGAAGACAGCTGCCCCCCATTCCCGCCTCTGTTTTTTTGCACGCAGGCCACGGCGTTCACTACCTGCGTGTCCAGCGTCCAAGACCACCTGGCTTGCCATTTTGCAAGCAGCCCCTGCCTCAGCGCAGACCCGCAGGGGGCGGTTGTCACTCATCTCCGCGGGCCAATGAGCGGGCAGCAAGCCCCGCCCCCTCGCCGGCCGGCGCCGGGGCCTGCGCACTGGGCGGTCCAGCGCCGCCGCCCACCGGCCGAGCGCCGTCGCGGGGTGCGGGCCCGGGGGTGTGCGCGGCCGCGCGGGAGGAGGACGCGGAGGAGGTCGGGGTAAGAGGGCCGGGGAGGGGGTCCTGGCCGCGCGCCGCGGTGGCCCCGCAGCTGCCGCTCCTCGGCGCTCGCGCGCGCTGTCGCCGGGACGGCCGCCGCCCAGGGACCGGCCGCAGGCGCCGGGAGGGCGGGCGCCGCTGCCCTCGGCCCCGGCGCGGGGCGCGGTCCCGCAGGCCCGGCCGCTCCCGGCCGCGCTCGCCCCGGCGCCCCGCACCCGCGCGGGGCCGCGCCGGGCCTGCCGGGCCGGGCCGGGCCGAGGTCGAGGATCCGTCCCCCTCTGCCCGGGGAGGGCGAGAATTGACCTCTTCCTCTTTTGGGCTCACGGCTGCAAAACACTTCAAAGTTCTCTTCCCGAATTTGGGGGGAGGGGTCCCGAAAATAGAGGGCTACGGCAGGGGCAGGTCGAGGTTCATTCAGGCCCCGTGTATAGGTTTTATTTTTTATTGGCCTCGATGACGTTGACACGCTTTCTTTGATCTCAGTGCTTGTCATTAATTGGCTTACGTAGAGACCTGTAAACTGCAGAAATGGGGTTCAGGACGCTTCCCCCTCTGCTTTTTGGGTTGTTGCTGTCTTTAAATTCAGACAAAATGACAATCTTGCGTTTCTCCTTAAATGCCTGCCCCCACCCACCCCCCTTCAAGCTACTTGCTTGGCTGTGATATACATATATATATATCAATTTATGTTAAAACTTAATTCAGGTCAGATGCCTTCTGACTATCACTAGATGTAATTTAAAGCTTGTGCAGAATCTGGAAGAAAAGGAGGTGATTATGAAATGCTGTGCTCTTTTTCAATATAGGGGGTAGACCTTTCTTCTCAGGGGTGCAGACTGAACACGGTGTTGAACTGTGTCTTCTGTGGGAAAACCTTTGCTTTGCAGGCCTCTGAGAAGTATGTCTCAAACTGTGGCTAGTTCAGAATCATGCTGTCGTTTCAAAGTTGTTTAAGTTCACATGATGCCCTATTAGTTCATTCACATCTGCATCATTTTTCTTAAGATATTTTACTTTCGCTGTTCTCAGTAACACAGTTAGCCATAGTTTTAGTTAGGATGCCAAACTTTAGCTAAGTGCTGGGGAATTTACACACCCGCAAGTAAGTCTTAGTAGTTTGCTGTAATTCCATTTAATTTGAAAGTTTAGTGTGTGAAAGGGTGAAAAATAATCTTTGGTATTGTGAACTAAAGCCAAAGAGTATAATAGTTTGGCAGATGGAAGGGTTGAGCTAAGGAATGCAGTTAATGTAGTTCAATTAGGAAGTGATTTTTCTGTAGAGTGATCACTTTCATGGTACATCTGTCTGCATGAATCCCACAATATTGCAAGGTTGTGTCACATATTTTATTTCAGAGGTAGGATAGATAAAAATAATATCCAAACTAGATCCTTTTAAATAATGATTAGCACTATGCTGCAAGAAGTCAGAGATCAACAGAGAATGGCAGATTTCTCTAGCACGTGATGTGAGTTTGTTGGGAAAAAGGAGTCAGTCACATGGAGATCATGGGAAGAGCTTCTGGAGATAGGAAATGGCACCCAGCAAAGGCTTGGAGAAAGACAGCATAAGCCTGTGACATTCAGGATCTCAAGAAGGCGTTGGAATTTGATGTCTTAGAAATGGTAACATTTTCCCTCAGACTGGGTATCTGTTTCTAGGAAGTAGATAACATTTATTCATTCATTCTGCAAATATTTATTAAGCACTTACTTATTTTTTTAGAGGTTTGCTTATTTATGTGTACAAGAGCTGGGTACAGGCCAGAGATGCGGGCGGGTGAGAGGATTCACTAGAGATCGAATGGGGAGCAGAACAGGCAGATTGACTGAAATATGAAATACACAGCTGAGGGCGGCAGCAGGTGAGACAGGAGAGGTCTGCTTAGCCATGTGGGTAGCTCCCCAGCCGGCTGAAGATCAAACTCGTGCTGCAGAGGCTGCAGATTGCTTCATAGTGCAGTGCTTAACCCCTTCTGCCACCAGGGAGGCACTTAAGCACTTGTTTTATAGCCAGCTACAGAGAATACAACCATCCACAAAAAACAAAAAACAAAGCAAAAACAAAAAACCTACCCCTTTGGGAACTTAAATTTTGGACACAAGATAGGGAGAAGCCTAGTGCTTTAGGCTGGTACTCACAATTAGAAAGTGAAACTGACTTTCTACTACTTTGCCCATTCTATATTTACAGAGCATGAGATTTATGCTTAATGGAAATCTTAAGAATTCTGAAATGTGTCCAGTAGTAGCTGGGGGTAATGTTGGACATTCAGAATTCCATTTTAAAATTCCCTTTGTTTTTTTCTTTTGTGCTCCTTAGAAACAATCTTGAGAAGATTCTCTTTATGATTATTGCACTTTGATCTTCTCATCCTGTCTTTTTCTTTGTAGTGTGCATATATTGTCATAGAAACATTATTATTGAGATATCTAGATGAACCTTTCTCAGTAGAACTTTCTGCTAATGTGGAAATGTTCTTTCCGTGAGCTGTCAAAGTCTCTGGTCACATATGTGATATTTGAACATTTGAAAGGTGGCTAATATGACTGAGGAAATGAAATTTTCATTTAACTACATTTATGCATAGAAGTACTAGGATGTAAGTCAGAGGTGCTAGGGGTGGGGGGGCTGGTGGTGAGAGGATTCACCAGAGACAGAGTAGGGAACAGAACAGGAGGATCCATTGAAATACACTGCTAAGAGGAGCAGATGGGGAGACAGGAGAGGTCTGCTATACCATCTGTAGGTTAGTTTCCTGGCTGGGGATCAAACTCAGGCCACAGCATTGATGGTGCTGTGACTTAATCCCTAGGCCACCAGGGAGACCCTACATTTTAATTTAAATAGACTGTGTAGTTAGTGGCTACTCTGCCAGAGAGTGTAGATTACGAGTTGTTATAGTGAGCATCAAAATTAGGAATTCTGAATGGACTTGGAAAAGCTTTCAGCAAGAATGCTTTAGAGCCTGTTAGCTTTGGGCTAGGTGCTGGAGACTGATGTGGAAAACAAACATCAGAATAACTTGGTAGTGCTTGATGAGGGTATCCAAATATTACCTCAATTAAAAAAAAGATTAACTTGGTTGCTCTACACATCACCCACCTTCTCACAACCCAAGAAATGGAGGCTCCCAAGGCAACCCAGCAATTCTTGGAAGAGCACCCCCTAGAGAAACAAGTTTGACCACTTTGCCATTGTTAAGTTCCCCTGACCACTGAGTTCCGGCACCTTGAAGAAGATAGATAGAAAACAACACACTTGTGCTCACTGTGGATGTAAGGCCAACAAGCACGAGATCAGACAGGCTATGATGAAGCCATGTGACATTAATGTGGCCAAGATCAATACCCTGATCGGACCTGATGGAGAGAAGACTACTTGTATTCAACTGGCTCTTTGACTATGATACTTTGGATGGTGCCAAGAAAATTGGGATCATCAAAATTGAGTTCAGCAGCCTAATTCTAATTTTTTTTTCACCATTAAAAAAACAAAAACTTGGTTGATTTAGGCTATTGCAAAGATTATAAACTTTTAAGTCATTTTATGGTAGCTGTGTGTGTATGTGTATTTATAGTAAACTTAGTCATTTGGTCTCTATTTCTCATACCTCATTATCAGAAGAGCCAACTATTGTTAGATATCACTATTAGCAGAATAAGAGAAAAAGAGTAAGCTATTTAGTTGTGTTGCCTTGATTCACTCGTGTGGTGACACCAAGCCTGTTTCCTCAAGAGTGAGTTTAGCAAAATTTCCTACAGGTTCTGCAGAATGGTGGTAAATTGGTTTTTCTAATTCAGTGGGCTCTAATTTTGTTACTCAGGGAAGCGATATGGTTTAGTGTTTAAAAGATAGGGACTTTAAGATTAATTTTCATATTTTACTCTGCTATATTAAGCATGTTACTTAATTCTCATTTTGCTCAGTTTCTTTATGTAAAAATCAGAATAATAATTGTACTTATCTCATATGCTTTTTGTAAGAATCAACTGAGAAAATATAAAAGCCCTAAGCACAATATTTAGGTATTCCTAAGAAATACTTAGCTACTTCTAACAAATTCCAACCAATTCAGAGCAACTCTTTGGGTGACTGAAGCTTAGTTCTAGCTCAGACTTAGTGTTTAAGGAAAGGTTGAGTAAAAGGAAAAAGGGGTCCTTGAAAAGAAACAGGAAGGCTTAGACTAGGCTGGTATGAGTTTTGAGGGTTCACGGAAATGCTATAATATTGACAGGACCCAGTAATTATACTCTCTCCACTAGGGCGAGAGTAGGCCTCAGGTAATCATGTGCTTCTGATGCAGCCCAATTTAGGATCTGTTAATGCTCACCCTGCAGTTGCAAGAGTAGGTTGTTCCTTTCCTCTGTGTAAAATGGGCTAGCTCTTGGCCCCTGCATGTGTATCACCATTTTGAGCCTGGTAGCAGGACCAGAATGCTAAGTGTTTTCCCCAAGGAGAAAGATTTCCAGTTGCCAGTTCCACTGGCAGTGGAAACGTTAATTGACAGATTCCTGTAGCCTCAAGGACATGTGGTTAAGAGTATGTCTTGAAGACATGGATGTGAGATTCACTTGGCTTTTCAGGTGACTGTGGAAAGTTACTCCTGCCATCCTGCTGTGGCAGTTCTGAGTCTGAAATGAACTATGAAAGGAGGAAAATGAAGCATCTGAATGCTCCCACTAGGCCTGGGTGGCCAGCCACATTCCACCATGCACCAGAGTTTTAGGTAGTTCTGCCCTACCCATCTCAACAGGTCAGCATTTGTACTTGCTGCTAGCACTGGCCCTTAGAAGAAAAACAATTATTTCATTGTGGCCTCTTCTCCTCTACCAGACATTCCACTAACTTCTTATTGTAACATATTCAAACTAAATCTCACATCGAGGGCCCAACCAAAATTTCATGTAGTTTTACTCATGGGTTGATTTGGAACCAGAAACCTGGAATTGAGTCCTACTTCCACCTTGTGGATGGTTTTGCTTACTTTTCATTACTTAGTAGCCTTTGTAAGCCACAGTTTGCTCATCTTTAAAAATTCCTTTCATTAAGCCTCTGCACAGCAAAAGAGACATTAACCAAAACAGAGAGACAACCCACTGATTGGGAAAAAAATTTTGCACTCCAGTCAACTGATAAGGGACTGATCACAAAGATATACAAAGACCTCATAGGACTCAACAAACACAAAATAAACAATCCAGTCAAGAAATGGGCAGAAGAACTTGAAAGACATTTCTCCAAAGAGGAAATACAAATGGCTAACAGGCATATGAAAAAATGCTCAACATCCCTTAAAATCAGGGAAATGCAAATTAAAACTACATTGAGAAACCATCTTACACCGGTAAGAATGGTACATATCAAAATGGCGAGGATGTGGTGAAAAAGGAACTCTCCTACATTGCTGGTGGGAGTGCCAACTGGTCCAACCACTATGGAAAGCTGTCTGGAGGTTCCTCAGTCTACTAAAAATGGAGCTACTGAAAGATCCCGCAATTCCACTCCTAGGACACAAAAACATTGATTCAAAAGAACACCTATACGTGTATGTTTATTGCAGAACTATTTACAATCGGTAAAACCTGGAAACAATCCAAATGCCCAAAAATAGATGACTGGATCAAGAAGATGTGGTATATATACACAATGGAATATTATTCAGCAATCAGAAAAGATAAACTCATGCCATTCGCAGCAATGTGGATGGAGCTAGAAGGAATTATGCTCAGAGAAATAAGCCAGAAGGAAAAAGAAAAATACTGGATGGTTTCACTTATAACAGGAATATAGGGGAACAAAGTAAGACATCAGTGTAAAAAAATAACAGTACAAAACACAACAAAACAAAAACAGACAATTATAAATCAGAGACATCCTGCAGGGCAGGAGGAGGGAGGGAGGAGCACAGGGGACTGAGGTGATGGTGCACGGGTGCATTGGTGAAGGAAACTCTATGGGGACTACACCTGAGGGGTGGGGGGAAGCAAATATTTTTTAAAAGTGAGCAGTGATGTAAAAAATAAAAAAATAAGAAAAGAAAAAATAAAAATTCCTTTCATTAATTCGAAAGGAAACCTGCAATCCTGTGTTTATTGCACCACTAGTTACAAAAGCTAAGATATGGAAACAACCTAAATGCCCCAGAACAGATGAATGGATCAAGAAGATGTGGTATTATATGCAATGGAATACTATTTAGCAATCAACAGATAAACTTGTGACATTGGCAGCAACAGGGATGGAACTAGAAGGGATTATGCTCAGTGAAATTAATCAGAAGGAAAAAGAAAAGTATTGGATGGTTTCACTCATAGGAGGAATATAGGGAAACTGAGCAAAGGGCCAGACAAAAAAGACAAAACTGACAGACAAACTAGATCTGAGGCATACAGCAGGGGAGGGGAAGAGCAGTAAGGATTATGGGGATGTTTCATGGGTGATGTGGTGGTGGGAGATTTATGGGGATTATACCTGAGGAGAGAAATCAAATAGTATACAAAATGAACAATGATACAAGAAAATTTTAAAAATTAAAAAAAATTCATGAAACTTTTATCATAAAATAAATAAAACAAGGTTTATGCTAACACCTGCTTTAAAAAGGAGAGTTCAATAAATGTTAGGTCATTCCTCTCTTTGCCTTTCTCTCTCGTCTCCCACTTGTCCCTGTCATGAATCATCTGATCCAGGGTTGACCTGGAACTTCCCAGCCTTTGGTAAATGACACACAGTGTTTGTACCATGTAATCTCGGTCTGTCTACCCTAGGTTTCTTGTGTTTGAACATCTTGTTCTCCATAACTGTCATACCCAAATATTAAATGTTACCTTTCTGTTCCATAAATTCTTTCTAGGTAAAGACATTAGTGATACCTCTTTTTTTGTAGTCCCTATAACTTTTGCCTAGCACACGTTCTTTGGCTCATTTGAATTGCTTTTGTTGTTTTACATTATTAACTTTATCCAGTCTCCTCAATGACAGGCTGATTTAAGCAGATACTTTATCATTGTTGTTTTGCAATTTGAGCATGTAGCAGACTGTTAGTAGAGAGTTGGCTTTACAAATGGGCTGCCTCCAAGTTAGCAGTATTCAGTCACGGTCAGTGAGAAGATGAATGAAGGAGAATTTGACATTTTTTTTGCTGTGCACAATCCTCTATGAAGTGACACACTTTTCATTCTCTTTCTAAACCCTGAGTGGTGTGGTGTGACTTTTTTTTTTTAAAAATTTTTTTTTCTTTTTTTTTTAATAATTTACATATTTTTATATCATTGTTCATTTTTGTACAATGTTTGCTTTCTTTTCTCAGTGTAGTACCCATAGAATTTCCACTACCGGTTCACCCGTGCACCATCAGGTATGGTGTGAAGCTTTGCTTCCTAAGCTAAGATGCTGACTTCTGGACAAGGAGACTTGTTCTTGCTCTGACAAGAATGTGTAGTGAGCATTTTACAGGGCATTCCTTTTTGTTTTTTTTGTCCCCCCTCTTGTCAACTCTCAAATTTGACTTTCTTTCCCATTAAAATTAGAGTATTCTCTGTCTATCTACCCTAAGTTTCTTCTGTTTGACCATCTTGTTCTCCATACCAGTCATACCCAAGTATCAAATGACTTTCTTTCCCTGAGCCACAAACATGTTACATTAGATATCATGAAATTTCTGGGATGGCATGAAGTCTACATTCCATTTAATAAACATTTATATACATATTCTTTGCCAGGAATTGTTATAAATGTTGGTGAAAGATAAATATCTTGTGGTTCCTACCTCATGTTTGCTTGCAATTTTCTTTGAGAAAAAGTGTATAAACCATTTGTACAGAAAAGGGACTTAATAACTCTTAGAGGGATCAAGAAAGTTCTCAAAAGGAATGTACAAGATGAACCATTCAGCATGTTAACATGACTCTGCCCTTTACAATCTACAGTCCAGTTTTGGTTTTTGTTTTTTGGGGTTTATTTGGATAGACATGGGAATTTTACTCCTTGCGTCCCTTTCCCTGATTTCCTTGACTTATTTGATGTCTCTCCCTTTGCTGAATTTCAGCCCTGTTTGGTTAATCAGGTTTGCATTTGTAACCTCCCAAATTGATAATTTGGAAAGTGTAAGTCAGTAACTTTAAAAATGCAATTATGTGACTTTTCTGTTATTTAGATGACTGCTTAGAAAACTACACAGCCCACCAGCATCTGATGAAATTAGCGTGTAAGCAAATCAAAAATGTCTTACACTCCAGGAATTGGCGGTGACCCCGCTCAGCTGGCCCAGCGGATCTCCTCCAACATCCAGAAGATCACACAATGTTGTGAGTTGAGTTTTAAGTTCACTTTACTGTTTGTTTTCAGTTCTTGACTGAACTTGGTGACAGTTAATAAAAGGACAACTCTAGTGTTTGAGAGAAGGAGGAACATTGAGAAGATGTTAACTAGGTTAGAATTCTTCAGAGTGACCATAAGAAGATAATAGGAGAGAGAACACATTGGATTTTTTTTGTAGCGTTAGTCCAGATATCTAAGAGGCAGTTTCATTCCTGAAATAAAGGCTCAAAAAGGTATTTCCTTGTTGGTTCCACATAAGGTTAATAAAACTTGGTGACATAATCGCATAGGTTAGGAACTAGGGACCACTCTCAGAAGCTGAAAAAACATGTTTTTTTATGTGTTCATTAAAAGTAAAATCTAGCTGGATATGACTTAGGTTAATTTTGTAAAGGGTAAATGTTTGATACATTATTAAGAAGCATTGAAGAACCAAGAAGGATACATTTTAATCTTCTGAGGCAGAAAAATAGGAAATAATTATTAGGATTCCTCATAAATTATCCATTGCTACTCCTATCAAAGACAGTACTGATCCAGTGTGAGTTTTATGAGACATTATTGCTCATTGGACTAAATACAAGAATAAAAAAAGCCACTGGCAGAGATTTGAGGTTATAGATTATTCTGTTTTGTTTTTTGTTCCATAGCCCCAAATCTAGATCATTCTAGTCGTCTTGTTCTCAGTATTCTGGCCTCTTATATTACTTAAACTCTTGCAAAATGTGTTTAATACTTTCTTTTATAATACTTCAGCCTACTTTGTTAAGGTCACTCTTCTTGCCAGAATGTGTTAACACACTAGTCAAATAAAGAATGTTTTCAGATGACCACACTCTGTTTCCTTGTCTAATCATTAATTTCTCAACAGTTATTAGTTTACCTGAATAATTTGAATGAGAAGCCAGTGTGTTTTGGAGGCAATGGGAGTAATATTAATTTATAGGTCATTCTGAAGAAGTTGCTGCTGTGCAAAACTGTGCAAAATAACCCTTCTTCTGATTTGGTGTGATTTTATAGCCTTTGGCTATTCTTAAAGGGACAGGGTAGTGAATTCTGTAGAGGTCTTACATTGTTCATAGCAGGGAATATAGGGTGGTACATCCAGCACCGTTCCAGTGTGTCCCAGGGCACCAGCTTTGGCTCCACCTTCTCTCCCAGCTTCAGATCTGTTGTGATGGTAGTCACAGAGAGCGTCACTTCTTTTATGGCTGCTGATTTGAAACAGTGCTGGTAGTGAGGAAATACCCGGAAAGAGCATTTAGATGGTACCCACAGCTGATATTGGAAAAAAAGCACTTGAGGCAAGAGTAGCAGGTGATGAAATCAGAGAGGAGGCTGAGCAGGTCATGTAACCTTGGAGGCCATTTGAATAGTTTAGATTCATTCTAAGAGGCAGGAAAAATACAATCACATCTGCACTTTGCAAAGATTACTTTGCTGCTTAGAAAGTAGTTTGGGAAAATGGAAGGGCAGTGGCCATTGCTGAATTCTAAAGAGAAAGATGTTGGTGTGCACCAGATGGTAGCAGTGAAACAGAAAGAAGGGATGGGTGTAATTTGGAGGCAAAACCAGAAGGAGTAGCTAATAATAGTGGGTGGGATTGAGAGGGAATGAGAGGCGTCCAGGATGATACCATGGTTTTTGCATTGAGCAGCTAAGTGGATGGCAGTGGTTCTGAGATGGGAAGGACTGCAGTTAAGGAGAAGTGAGGAGACTTGTGACCAAGTGCATTTTGAGATGCCTTTTTAAACATCTAAGTGGAGGTCCTCCCCGGTGGTGCAGCGGGTTGAACCCTGCGCTGTGGAGCTGTCCACAGCCTCTGCGGTGGGGGTTCGATCCCGGCTAGCCGGCAAGAATCCCACATGGTGCGGCAGACCTTTCCTGTAGCACCCGCTGTTCCCCTCAGCAGTGTATTTCTGTCATCTGCCTGTTCTGCTCCCTGCTCTGTCTCTGGTGAATCTTCTCACCCTCCTGCGCCTCTGACCTGTACCCCAGATCTTGTATAAAAATAAATAATTTTTTTTAATGATTTATTTATTTATTTATGCAAGCACTGGGTACAGTCAGAAGCGCGGGAGGGTGAGAGAATTCACCAGAGACAGAGCGGGGAACAAAACAGGCAGACCATCGAAATACACTGCTGAGGGGAGCTGCGGGCGTGGCAGGAGAGGTCTGTTGCTCCATGTGGGACCCTTGCCGCGGCCGGGGATCAAACCGGCACTGCAGAGGCTGCGGGCAGCTTCGCAGCCCAGTGCTCAACCACTGCGCCACCAGGGAGGCCTAAAAAAATAAATAAAACTTTAAAAAAAAAAATAAACATCTAAGTAGAAATGTCAAACATTTGGTTTAGATACATGAATTTATCTGGATAACAGAATGTCATCAGAGTATAAATGGTATTTAAAACCTCAGGTATAATATAATCATAAAGAAATGAGATTAGAGAGGAGGGATGGAGCTTTAAAAAATGTGAATGTCAGGAAGACGGGGAGAAAGTGGCATAAAGAATCAGAGAAAGTATGATCAGTGAGTTAAGAAGAAAATCAGAATATGGAATATGGTCGATTTCTAGAAATCCAAAGAAGTGTTCCAAGAGTGAGCAAAGCATCCTATGTGTCTCACACTGCCTAGAAAATGAGTAAGATACAAGCAAAGAATTGGATCAGGCAAACTGCTGACATTGAAAAGACGTGTCTCATGTCCATGTTCCAAGTGTAGATGGAGGAAGGAAGGAGAAGAAGGACCTATGCCTTTCATTTAAAGAGCATTCATTCATTCATTCACTTCTGCTTGTGTCAGTCCTCAGAATTTAGTTGTAGTCATATGTGTCTGCCTAGCTGCCAGGAAGGCTAGGTATAACCATAACTGGATTGCCGTGTGCCACTAAAGTTGGGGTCACTCCATTTGGGAAAGAAGGGAAGAATAAACATTTACTAGGCAACTAGCAGATTCTACTATGAAGCTGAAAGAGGGTCAAAGAAAGGGTTGCCTTTCTCCACTTCAAAAGGGAGATTCTAGTCAGAGTACAATTGCTAAAGAATTGATGTTGAAGGGGAGAGAGGAAAAGGGGTGGATCACCAGTGTCCGGCTCACCTTTCTACAGAGTGGAGCAGAATGTGGTATAGACCCTAAGTGTGGTCACTGGATTTTCAGAGTTCCTGTCTGAGCAGGTCTGTTTCCATAGGAAAAGGAGGCAGAGGCATCTAATCCACAAGGGGAGGTTGGTGAAAGTTTATGGAAAGAAGAAAGAATGGACTGCCTATAGTTTTGATGCTTGAGAGAATGGACGTAGCAGGGAAGTGGAGAAGGGTTGTGTCCCAGGTTGAGTACTCATTTGAGATTTGGGATCATGATTTTAGAGAAACCACTTGTCCAGTGTCTCAGTGATTTAGATAAAGTTGCTGTTTAAAAGCTAACATACCACCCAGTGTGGGTTACTAATCAGGTCTATTCATAAATTGGTGGAAGTAAAAGACAGAAGTGTGAAATTTCAGTTCACTTTTTTCCCCATCTGGTAATGCTAATAATACTGGGTGTGATAGAATAAAATGGTACTTTACACCACATTTAGGTGCTTCTCTTTATATTACATTTGCATCTTTTGAATTTGTGTCAGTACAAATTATGTAGGGTTTTTTTTTGTTTGTTTTTTTTTGTTTTTTTTTTGATGGGACCCTCGCCGGCAGCCGGGGAATGAACCGGTGCTACAGAGGCTGCAGGCAGCCCCTCAGCCCAGCGCTCAACCACTGCACTACCAGGGGAGGCCCACAAATTATTTAGTTTTATAAAAGAAATTAAAAAAGATGCTGTGAGCAGGGTAATAATATACTCTTATAGTCAGACTGTGTATACCTGTTTGGCTATAGCTAAAATCTTCCTGAATTCTGCAGTTTATTTTCACATGAATTTTGATAAAGATTAGTGAAAACTTGTAATGAGTTATATAGTTTAATTTATACTAAAATAAGAAAATAGGGCCTCCCTGGTGGCGCAGTTGTTGAGCGCTGGGTTGTGAAGCTGCGCGCAGCCTTTGCAGCGCCGGCCGCCAGGAGAGGGTCCCACATGGCATGCAGACATTTCTTGCTGCCCGCTGCTCCCCTCAGCAGTGTACTTCATGAGTCTGCCTGTTCTGTTCTCCGCTCTGGCTCTGGTGAATTCTCTCACCCTCCCGCGCTTCTGACTGTACCCAGTGCTTGTATAAATAAATTAATTTTAAAAAAGATATTAAAAAAATTAAAAAAATAAAATAAGAAAATAGCAATCAAAAATATTTTTGCTTCTTGGAAAAACCCAATTAGTAAGATTGGAATTTTGCCTTTTTTTTTTTTTTTTTTAAACAGTGTTCTATTCTGGCCATTCTGTTTTGCAAAGACTAGGATAGATGAGACAAAATATGTATACATTTTTAAAGTTTTATTTGTTTTTGCATAGAAGAACTAGAGTGTAGACCAGAGGTGTGTGTGGGTGAAAGGATTCACAAGAGACAAGAGTGAAGAGCAGAACAGGCAGATCTACTGAAATACACTGCTAAAGGGAGCAGCTGGTGAAACAGGAGAGGTCTGTTGTGCCAGGTGGGTTGGCCGGGGATCAAACTCAGGTCATAGTGATGATAGCACTGAGATTTAACCCTTAGGCCACGAAGGAGCCTGAGAGAAAATATTTTTAAGCTTGTAGTGTTTCTGTTAAAATGCTTTTTGTTAAAAATAATCTGCAGTCTTGTCATTTGCTTTCCTAGTGAAGTATTTGAGCCATATTAAAATAGTATATTTTATATTAAACATTAATAAATTTTGCAAATGCTTTAAAACATTTTTATCAGAAATAGAATTATAATAAAATAACATACCTTTAAAAAAATAATAGGTCTAGCAAGCTAGAAATCTAAGAATTTTTCTGTGGAGCATTTAAAATGATTAAGAAAATATTTTCATCCTTTGGGAGCGCCACAGTAGGTTAGAGTTGGCGTGCAAATAAAATCATAACA